CCTCGTCATGTTGCGGATCGAAGGCATACGGTAGAAAAGCTCAATACGTATTGACAACGACTGTAGGTAGACTGTTTCAATAAGGTGCGCACGCTAACCAGGTCCATCGCTGTATCTACGAGTCTGCGCTGTCGGTCTGGCAGCGTCGCTCTATGGACGTGTTTACTACTTTACTGTTCATTAGAAGCATGCTCTTAATAGTAAGTAAGCTTGTTCCGAGCTCGAGGAAAACTTAATACTCTGCGAAACTTTGTCTTTCCGTAGTGCTTAAAGATCGGTGGAACAAAAAATGTCAATACAACTTTATCGGGCCTTCTTTCCCCTCCCTTCTTGCTTCCCTGTAACTTCGACCTCTGCCTTTGCACTTTTCAGCGACAGCTGCGCTTGCAGAAGCACGCCATTGAAATTACATCAAACCCCAAGTTTTTAGTTCCTAATGCTGTGATACTGGTTTCCGAACACCATGAGTTGTCACTTTCTTCTCTATTGAAGAATAAAAGGTAAATTTGCAGAAGTCTCCCAGTATATCAAAAAAAGTCCACCTTTTCTAGTTTGAATAGCGAGGAGATATTGCGTGCTACTTGCCAACTCGTTGAGGGTATTGCTGCTCTTCATGAGGAAGGAGTTTGCATCGGGTCACTTACTTCGGATACCATCCTCATAACGGGCAACGACGCTGGCTCACTACGCATGCGGATCACTCAGTACCCCATAAGGTGAATTATTCGCGCTTCTTTTTTGTGATTCACATCTCTTTTTAGCTACATCTCGAGAAGTGGCATGGATCTGCAAGGAGGGTTACCACTTAGCTTCTCCGTAGCTCCCGAGCAACTCCTACACGGCTCGACCATCCTTAGTACGACTTTCAAAGCGGATATATGGAGTCTCGGCATAGTGCTGCTGGAAATGGCTACGGTATGTGGCTCACGACTAGGTTATCTCAAGGTGGAAACCCCATGAACGATATTTCATGAATTTGTGTGCGCGGCGGCAACAACCTGCACATTGCGAGCCTGTGTCCGATAGCATCCTCGATCTCTGGATTTTGAGGTTATTCGTTGTGCTAATCCCGGAGATGCACTAAGAAGCGAAAAAATAGTGAGCGGGCTTTTTGTGGACCTTTCAGTCGCCACCGCTAAGATTGGAGACATATAATAAGGATTCCTAGTAGATAGTATGTTGGGCTCTAGCATCCGCCCGGAGCGGACGATTTGGAACAGTTCCCTCCTTCCGAAGTCTATGGCTCTTCCCCGCGCTTGACGGTAGTGTCCGGTTAAATAGTCGAATTTGAGATCTTCTACTCACTTGAGTGTATCAGCTATGCTAAATCCGAAGATCCACCCTGGAGAGCGCGAAAACGTCAAAAAAAGCTCTATCGTCCTCCAGCTTTCTACTTTGACTATGCCCGCTCTAATGTTCAAAGTTATGTAGATTCCAAGACAATTGTTGAACAAGTCTCGCACTAAATTTTTTCGTAAAATCGATATCCTTCAATCCCAACAAAGTCACTCCTCAGTAAAACTCGCGCTTTCCAATAGTTCTCCCACTAATATTAATGTTGGTCACTGCAGCTGAAGAGAGACGTCCAACTTGTATTTCAAATTTCGAAAAAAAAGGTTAAGGGGCTGAGGATTTAACGAAGGCTGACTTCAGTTTTGTGATATTTAGGATCTGCCTTTCTTGAATGTGAGAGAATTCTACTTATCTAGTCTGGTACAAGTAGTTACGGATCTAAACCTCTAATGATTTAATAGCGGCATTTGATTTTTCTTCATTATTAGGTAGGAACGAAAATTCTTGCATAGTTCGAATGGCTTTTATAATGAATCTTTCAAATTCTAGATCTAAGGAATTTTACGTTTTGCCTACAAATGAAGAAAAACTGGGTGCAACTCTTCACTGGCTAGACCTGGTGAACG